CAACACCCGCCCCAGACTGCTTATACCTCCGCCCAAAGAAGTGAAGCTAAAAGACCAATATTGGGAAAAATGTCCACTGTTAAACATTATCGCGTGATTTATACAGACTGCACTCATCACCATTTGTATCTATAAAATGATGGAAATTCTGTTTTTCCTATTATTTGATTCTTAGAGCACGCGCTGCTGCTGCTGTTATCTGAGCCGCAACTTGAAGATCACATTGATAGTGCTGGTGGTCATCTTACTGATAGCTACGGCGATCGTCGCACCAGTCCTTGTCACTACTCTACAAAAATGACAAGTCACTTAGGAAAGACCCTGTCCTCTTCACATTGAACTTGGATAACCAGCTCAAACATGCAACATCGTGAGTTTCGAGTGTAAAAAAACTACGCAATTGGTAGAATTGCACAAGACATCGTGAGTTTCGAGTGTAAAAAACTACGCAATTGGTAGAATTGCACAAGCTCTGCTTCTTAGTTAAACTGCCTTATGTTATCACTTTGTAAATTTGTGACTGCTTTAATTCAGCCAACTGGAGAAATGGACTGCCTTTCCTACGAAACTACTGTTTACATCATTGCTATCATACAGTTTAAAAATAAATGGTACGCTCATAACTAAATAGGAGCCTAAAAGAATTACAGAAACTTCAAATGTAAAATCAAGCCATTTTTGTTACAATTTAACAAAATAATAAATGAATTAATATTAACCTTTTTCTTAAGTGCTTGCTATTAGGAAATACTGACCACATGGCGTACTTTATTTTATTGTTCAAATTAGTGAATAATTTGGATTAATTGCCCCCTAAACCATTAATGGTTGATATTGTTAGATGCTTACATGCATTTTCCCCGACAAATGAGCAAATATTGACAAAGTACATTGAGGAAACGACCCAAAGGAACGTATCTAGTTGTACATGTCAGTTATTACCGTCTCTGGTAAATTCGCTTTCATGATACAGATTGTGTACTTATCAATTAAGTTTTGCGAAACTGCGAGTGATTTTGTTTTTCAAGAACCAAGCGTATCCTTTAATTTACATAATTACATAATTTTTTTATTTGATTCACAGTTAACCACTTTGTTTCATTATGATCTAGGGGTCCTTGTGTGCGTTCTTTTATCACTTTATGTTTATTCATTTATGGGATTCACTTTCGAAAAGGTTTGTGTTTCTTTCTAGTCGCCTACATTGCTGCTTTGTGCTTTGAAGTTGGTAAAAATTACTTTACTTAATTGTGTCCCACTATTGATTATTGTATTTGTACCCTAAGATGGAAACGTGCAGAAAAAATGCTCCTTTATTTCGAAAATAACCTGGAATCTGACATCGAAGTCTTAATAAAACAGTCATACATGTATGTCCAAATAAACAACTGCCAAGAATATCAAGAGAATTTTGTTTATTGTGTTATTTAAAAGAAGACTTGTTTTTCATTACAAATTACCTGATTTCTGCTCTAATGAAATACAAAGATCACTTGGTTTGGCTTCTGTCGTAAAGGCCCGAAAAATCCATACAATCTTAAATCGCAAAATTGCTCTGAAACGCGACCACTTTCTAGAATGATGAATGATGTGATCTGTTGAGTAAAGTTGTACCGTGACTTGGGCAATGTAGCCCCGGCACCGTATGCTATCGATTCGGTGGTCGTTCAATTATGGACAGAGTGTCATCAGCATCGTGTATAAACAGCAAATCCAGCAAAAGCGGACTACCAATAGAAACTTAACTGGCTGCTATTCAAAAGAGAGGCTTTATTAAATATACTTGTTATGTTAAATATGCTTCTTGTGATGTTGTTCATAAGCGATGACGTTAATGATGCGTGCTTATCCTTGTCAATAATTTTAAATTGAATGATCTCAACTACATTCAAACTTCATTGTTTCGGATACGTTAATTCATAATACTATCTGCTCGATATTCTTTTTGGTGGGGTATTTCCTAAAGCTTAAGGGATTTTTGTTTTAGGTTGTGCCTCTCTCTCCGCAGTTAATGTTGTTTTTCAGGTTGGCACCCGTAATAAATCATGACGTAAGCACGGTGACCTGAAATAGCGCGCAGAGGATTATGCATAAGTCAACAATGCAGACAAGGAATTACTTGACGCAACCCATTATTACCAAAAAAAAAAAAGAGTGAAATTTGCAGCTGAAAAAGCCCAGCCGACTTACGACAAAAATCATCCCATATTGGGCTAGCTGCGGAAGATTCAATTACTAGAATAAAAAGGCTTCTGATTATTTGCCAAGAAGGTGTTGAACTGTTGTAAGCGCAACTGAAATTTTAAAAAGATATCACGTATCACGCAAGCGTACTACTAGCGGTGGGCAGACTAATTCGAACGTGGAGGAGCCTTGGCGTATACGTCACAACGTAAGTATCTGCTAAATAGTACGATTATATTCTGAAGACCACATCTAATTTTATTTATGTCATCCCCAAAAGAAAATGACACATTTAAATAACAAACTTAAACAATAATAGAAACATCTGTGCTCTTTTCATTTCAGGAGTGTTGCAGTTGTTCCAGAACTTGCTGTTAGGTCACTTCATGTGTCATCATTGCAGTATTGGTAGCCGTTGTGGTTATTATTCTGAAATACGGGTTCCTTGTCTTCTAGGCATCGCTACCACGACAGCAGCCCCTTACCACGGTAGAATGTGGTTGTTTCCAAGCGCCTGAATCAGCCGCACGAACGCTGGGGCTTCAACCCTCAGAGACTGACCTTACACGGAAGCTGGTGACTAGTCAAAACATGAACAGGACACTGTTCAAAATTTGTCTGGTCCTATAAGCAATGTATAAATGGCCTATTCCAATAATGAATGGAACAAAACAACAATGGCAATGTTAAACAATGTGAAAACTATAACTGGTTCAATTGATGATAAATAATGACGACAAGTTTCAAAAATGTGTAAAATCTTGATCAAAACCTGTCCTGTTTATTTCTATGTACTTAATTAGAACTTTGGACTAACTGTAATGTTTAAAATATTCTACAAGACTTTACACCATAAATGCGTTTAACTTGCGTGTTTATCCAAACTACGATAGGAAAGAATGGAAAAGTCACGTCACACTCTTTTTTATAAATAAACATGTGGAAAATGGATTCAAAATGGCCAAAATAACTTTCTGAATGGGATGTGAGAAATGATCTGTAGCAGAACTGTTTGTTTCTGTTATACTTCAGTGTAGAGACCCAGACTACAAGAGGGTAGGGAGAGATTGTTTTGCAAAGAAAGAATTTCCTCTATATATGTACAATGTCATTCTTTCATTGTAAGTACGAAGGTCAATGCAATGGCAGATTTGTACAATGAAGTGCATGTACAGAGTACTTTTGTAGTAGGCCCCTACATCTACACATTTGGCGAGTTGTTTAACCTCGTTGACAAAGGAAAAAAATGCAATTTCGTGATTTTTGAAAACATTTAACATCGGTTACAAAGAAGAAGTGATCCGTGAGCTTTCTAATTCTTGCCTTAATTTGGTAACGAGGAGACAGCATCTACGATTGTAATCGTTGTTCCATAGCTCATGTGTATTTACATGTATCCATGTGAATGTATCCTGCGTACGGCAGTGTCCCAGTGTAATGTCGCAATGTTGGTAGTTCAGGGATCGCTTACAATACACAGATTTCAGTTTCAATGAAAGTAAATGCGTAAAAAGTAAAAACTTGCAAAAATGCGAATAATTACAGTGTGATAATGCCAACTAAAAGCAACTTCAGAACAATGTACTTTCTAAGAGATACATGTATGCATGGATATGTGCAGATATGGCTGATTTCACACGTGATTGGCAGATTTCCTCATAACTTGAAAATAAGAACAAGTCACCTTCTCCAGTTTGAGCACAGTTACCTATCTTTGACCGATTGTGTCCTTTACTGTTACATTTTTTATATAATCTTATTTAATCTTGCTTTTTAATTATATTTGATTGCAAAAAGGTGCCGGACATGCAACCAACCTGCCCAATGGGTTGCTTGAGAACAAGATAATGTTTTGGGGAAAATAGTATCCGAGCAAAGATTCCTGATAGTAACAAATTTCCTTGAACCAGTGCTTAAAGCTGAACAACTTAACACAATACTTCTTTAAACCAAGACTTGAAGAATGTTGGTGGGTGTGGCAACACCAACAGCTCATTATGAATTAAATCTTTAGTTTTCAATTGACACTGGAGAATCCGTTTTTTTGTGCTTTTGGATTTCTCTATAGCATGTTCTTAACTTCAATGGTCGATTGCATCAGTCTTTCCCTACCCCCTTTCCCTTTATAATGGGACTAAATATCTCGCTAAAATACTTAAAATCAATTGTATTATTTGGGTTCCGTTTTTGAAAATGCTTTCATAGGAATGGACAGGCCTTAGAACCATTTATTTAAAAACAAAAAATATCCATAGGAATACTTTTCATTTGAGCAACATGTTGCACGCCTATGAGACATGTATGTGTATTGTTTTTATCAAAGCTAAACTGGAATAAGTTCAAATTATAGTTCATCGGATTTCACTATGAAAGAAACTTTGCTGATTTTAATTTAGAGTGGAATTAGATGTTACTGGATGAAAAAACAACAGAGTATCACAATGTTATGAATGTCAGTGATTAAAAAAAGCAAAAGAACATTTGAGAAATTGTAAAAAATCTACACTTTGTATTTTGTCCTAACTGTTGAACAGAAAGCTAGGTGAGGGTATATCAAGCAGATCCCTAACATACTATGAGCAACCAATCACAAGCTTCCACACAGAACCGTTGCGATGATGCAAATATACTACTCAAAAAGGTAAAGGTCAAAAGGCGAATCCACTTTGAAAAATGGGGAGGATTCACCTCTATCAAAAGAATTCACGGGGCAAGAAAACAAGGAACCTGCGACACTAACAGGGTAAAACAAAACGACAGATATTAGAAAATGAATATACAACAAATTCCTGTGAACAAGCGCAAGAGAAGGACGTAAAATGTTCGTAGTGATATTTGAATATTCATGTCAACTGAATACCACTTTCTAGGGTTTCTAGGGTACGTGAATTTTGATTGGTGATTTGTTTGGCAGCAAAATCCCGCCAACCATGTTAGGCAAAGATACCGTCAGCCATTTTACATCACATCAAGTTGAGGTTAGTTCGTTACAAATATTTTGTTGCTGGAAGTTTAATTTCTTACCAAAATGAGCCAACCAACAAAGCCACCACCGACCACGAAAACGACCGTGCCCAATCCTAGCGTGGCTCAACCTACAGTTCATACTGTAAGTAGTAAAGCTAAATGTGACCAACTGGACTACTGGACTGGATAGACCACAAGGATTATTACTGAAAAAATTCTTTACTGATTTTTATACTCAGAGGACTTGAAATACTGCATAACTGGATTTGAAATAAATCCAAAATGTTATCAAAGTACATACTATATTACAATTGCTCGTTTAACTAGTGCATTGTGTGTCCCGGTATGCTAAATACCAACTGTTCCATACCTTAATGGACAATTTCGTTTCTAAAAAGGGACAAGATAATTTGCCATCATTTTTTCGACATTTAAAATAGTCTGCATAGACATTAGGTTTCTTACTGTTGAACAATTACCTCCTTCCATCCCGTTTGTCATTCATTGTTCACAATATGCAACGTGATTAAACAAATCATATTAATTACCACTGCATGAGAAGTGTAGTGCTTGGTCTCACAGCACATTTTTTTCTTTCCGTTTTCCCAAGCCCCCTTACCGATGCCGATACTGCACGCAGGAATTTGATTATTCCATTGCACGGTATTTACACGAGATTTGGCATATTATCAAAGAAGACGTATAGTAACGACAAAACCCAAGGTAATAATGTATATCGAATGTTGTGGTAGTTGCTGAAGAAATAGAAGTGTGGTAGAGTTATTCATCGCCTTGACTTCAAACGAAACGTATCAAAATTCGATGGTACACTTAAGAAAACCGAGATGCATTGTGTGGAATAAAAGCAGAATATGATACAACACCGGTTATTGTCCAACTGCTTTTTACAACTTTGTATCAAATTGTAGTTTAAGAAAGAGTTCTCCTGATCAATCAAAAGCTGTATCTTAAATGACGAATAAACTGCCCTGACGATCATTTAATATCGTTACATACACTAAATGGAGAAATAACAGAGACTGTTGTCCTTGCCAACTAAATCCCCGAATAATTGAGGCATGTTGGCATTATGAAAATGATCCAGTCGTGGCTTAACGTGATTGGTTCAAGTCGTTTAGTATTCCGCATATATAAAGAGGCAGTTTTTTGGGAGACGGTAAGATGGGATATCTAGAAAGCTGGAAGTTGTGTTTTGCTCAATCAAAATGCCTGGACGTAATGATCTCACGAGGCTGCCGAGGCAAGCCAGGAGTTGGACAAATGTTTCTATTGCTGACCCAAGGCGAGCTCAAGGAGTGAGTTCAGTGCAATTCCATGACACCTAAATTAGATTTTTGTTTAATTTGCAAAGATGTAACCATTCTGCCGAAGTTTCGACGTCCACATAGAAGCATAAAGTGCCCAAGCTCGGCCACAAAATGGGGATATTACTCGGATATTACGCATGTCAACATTACAATTTCTAGATTTGAAGTGATGGCTATCCTATAATTAATTAAGGTTCTTGTCAAATTCCACTATGTTTAATTCCGGACACTATGGGCACACAGTGTGTGGTAGGCCTTCTAGTTTTGTTACTTTGTCTGAGGATTGCCTTGTCTTTCACTCTTTTTTTTTACTCCAGTTACTGGACAGCACCATGAGGGCGTGTTCGTCACTTGTTCAACGACTGTTTGCTGCGTTTCGTAGTCCCCTCCGCTTTTTGCAACGATGGCTCAAGTGACCATGCACCAGATTGCCCTGTGGATTCCCGCTCTTTTCATTTTATTCCTGACTGGCCACTTTTAGATGTGGAATTCAACTTATTCATCCAGTTCAACGTGACCGTAAATCAAATGATTGCCCCACGTCTAATCGAGGTCCCCCAATGGATTTTATTGTTCTACTGAATTGTGAGCACTTTGTTCTGTTAAGCACTTCGATTCTCTGCGTGGGAGGCGCTATATAAATACGGCTTTCTTATTATTATCATTATTATTATGAGATACCGCTCACAATTCCCAGAACTGATATTCTGTCTAACCATTGTCATTGGCACTCACTATTCTGACTCAGTTAAATGTTAACCACATCCTGCTCTTCGGTAGAAATGTTAGTTAAGGAAACCCCAGAATCTCTGAGGCAAAAAACACAAGTCTGGTGGTAACAATAAACAAGTCATGGCTAGTATGAAAATGTTAGAAGAATGTTAGAAGGATAGACTGTTTTCTGGGTTGCAAACTATTACAGAAAGGAAATAGCCAAACAATAGCTCAAACGATTATCAAACGTATTCATAAGCATATCCTGACTTTACCCAGCTGTATATGCATAGGCCTATTTCACGACTGTTGTTTTTCATTTCCTTAAAACGTTTACATTTAAAAATTTTTAGGAATAACATTTCTAGAAATACTTTCCTTAGACAATGCTAATTGTTATAGAGTTGAGCACAGCCTACTTTATCAATATATAAAGACAAAGATCAAAATGTTTGCCTTAGAAAGCTCTCTGTGAATATGTATCTGTTTATTTGTTGAGTAATTCATACGAATAACAAAAAGAAATAGAAATTATTAAAATGTAGTTGAATAACAAGTTTTGGGTTTCAATTTCGCCGGCCATATTCGATGCTTTGAACAGTTACGGAAAACAAATGCTGAAATAGAATAAATTAAATTTTTGAATGTGAAATTAAACTTCACTTGAGAGAGTGTGATTTGAATTCTTTGGGGAAAATTGTAGAATAAAGAGCAATAAAAGGTCAATCTTCCTTAGAGTGTGTCTTTTGCTTCTTCTCAAACACTATTTTGAGTGTCTACTGTCATGGAAGGAACTGGATGAGTCCAAATAGATAAGAGCTAATTAAAACAACTGAAACATTTCCACAGTTGAAACGATTCTCAGACAGAAACTCCATTGCCAATGTAGGACAGCAAACAGGTGCTGACTAATAACCAGGTTAGAAATGGTGTGAGCTTGAAACGATTGGTTGCTGGGGAGGGGTGGGGCTGCATTGAAGAAACGCGCAACTTGTTCCAGGCTCTGTTGACTTGCCATAGGGGTACAATGTGTCGGAGATTTCCCGTGGAATGTGACTGGTAATGCATTTCAGACACTCGCCAGAAGTTACATCACCCTTGGAAGTTGTTATTAGCATCCTTATCAACTTCTGTTTATTTTTTGGGGTGTTCTGGAGGAACGGACCGTTTTCTTGACCATTCTAAGAAGTAACCAACATGAGCGCAAACGCACCAATACGAACACAAATTTCACGGCGTAACACGCGTGCCACCCTTTCATCTGCAGCAGATCCTACACGTTCAAGGAGAAAGGTAGGCTTGGGTATTAAAACGTTTTCTCTTGATAAAGGACTGTTTTTAATTCACTCACAAAGTAGGCAAAAATATTGATTGCCTGCCTGTTTTCATTCGTTAGGGTGGTGGTCGGGGTGCTAATGGTCACCAATGTCCTTACTGCGGTAAAAGATACATCTCAAAACGCTGGTTTTTGATACACCTAAGAAGTTGTCCATGGAAGCGTTAAGGTAAATTCACTAGAACTTTTCCTGCCTCTTTTTACCCTCTTCAGTTCATTTAATGACATCTTTTAGGGGGTATCTTTTAAATCTGAACAAGAAGCCAAACTGTATATACATAAGGTATTATACGGGGAATCCACAAACTTATGAAAGTCAATATCTTTTATTAAGGGGCATGATTTTATTGCGCAAGACACCCACCTGAAGTCAAGAAATCCCCTTCTCACCTTGCCTGTGAGACACAGCATAACAACCAATGAGATTCAGAAACCAAAGAAAATAAAATGACATTATGAATTATTAATGACTACGGACAATGCCTGACAACAAAACATTGTATTTAAAAAGCCAATAACATTTCTGCTTTAGCAAAATAAATAGAGTACCTTTCCAACACCCGCCCCAGACTGCTTATACCTCCGCCAAAAGAAGTGAAGCTAAAAGACCAATATTGGGAAAAATGTCGTGCCACAACCAACCCTGTCGCATACCGTCTTCAAAGCGTTGTGAATGCACTAACGTAGACGTTTGTGACCCATGTAGAGACGCCAACTGTGCGCAGAAGCATTGGTGCTGCCGAGTAAGCTTTTAATTCTGTGCTTTACGGAACTGAAATGATTGCCAATCCGGTAAAATAATGTGATACACCACACATATATAAAAGCATGGTAACCTCCTCTCCTATTTATGATAAAAGCACTGTAGAGAAAGCGCAAACAGTTTAAACACTTTGTATTTCTTGAGCCAGCTTTTTTAACAAAATTAGGAATGTATCTAAATTATAAGTTGCTTTCGCACAGCTAAACGTAGACAATGACGAAACGTTTAGTATTGAAACACATTCTTCAACGCATTTCAATGTAAATTTCTAAACATGTCGTGGATTAAACTTACAGAAAATCAGGTACAGAAAATGTGTTTCAACTCTAAGCGCTGTTCATACAGTGAAGTGGTTACAGTGTAACATTATAAAGGACAATCGCGTGATTTATACAGACTGCGCTCATCACCATTTGTATCTATAAAATGATGGAACTTCTGTTTTTCCTATTATTTGATTCTTAGAGCACGCGCTGCTGCTGCTGTTATCTGAGCCGCAACTTGAAGATCACATTGCTGGTGGTCATCTTACTGATAGCTACGGTGATCGTCACAGCAGTCCTTGTCACTACCCGACGAAAATGACAAGTCACTTAGGAAAGACCCTGTCCTCTTCACATTGAACTTGGATAACCAGCTCAAACATGCAACATCGTGAGTTTCGAGTGTAAAAAAACTACGCAATTTTTAGAATTGCACAAGCTCTGCTTCTTAGTTAAACTGCTTTATGTTATCACTTTGTAAATTTGTGACTGCTTTAATTCAGCCAACTGGAGAAATGGACTGCCTTTCCTACGAAACTACTGTTTACATCATTGTTATCTTACAGTTTGAAATCTTAGCCTAATGGAATTACAGAAGCTTTAGATTTGAAATCAAACCATTTTTATTACGATTTAATTAACAAGATAATAAATGAATTAATATTAACGTTTTATTTAAGTGCTAGTCATTAGGAAATACCGACCACATGGCGTACTTTATTTTCTCGTTCAAATTAGTGAATAATTAGTTAGAGATTTCACTACTTACAAACTTGAGAATGCGTTTGTCCATTATCGATTCTGAGGAATGAAAATGCAAGTCAAATGAAAGATCTTTGAAATACGCATCGAGGTGTATTGAATAACATTTCGACAAGCAACAGCACCGGCAAACTTAGCAGTTTTATATTATTTCTTTGAAACATGGTGTTTGTGTTATTATAATCATTTTGAAAATGGAGCAAGGATTAATTGCTCCCTAAACCATTAATAATTGGTACTGTTAGATGCTTACATGCATTTTCCCCGACCAATGAGCAAATACTGGCAAAGTGCATCGAGGAAACGACCCAAAGGAACGTTGTACATGTTGTACATGTCAGTTATTACCGTCTCTGGTAAATTCGCTTTCTTAATACAGATTGTGTAGGCCCCCTACTTATCAATTAAGTTTTTTGAATTTTGGTGTAATTTTGTTTTTCAAGAACCTAGACTATCCGCTTAATGTACATAATAATTAACACCATTGCTTTATATGATTCACAGTTCACCACTTTGTTTCATTATGTCTAGGGGTCCTTGTATCTGTTCGTTTATCACTTTATGTTATCCCATTATGGGGTTCACTTTCGACAAGGTCTGTGTACCTTTCTAGCCGTTTTCATTGCTGCTTTGTACTTTGAAGTTGCGAAAAACCTCTTTAGCTAACTGTGTTCCTGATTATGTTTCTACCCTAAGATGGAAAGAAAGTCAAGTCAATCTAAGTTTTGATGAATTGCTCTGTTTACTCCAAAAAACTAACCCGGAATCTGACAAGGAATAGTCTTAATTAGAAAAGTCATACATGTGTGCCCGAAAAAACAACTGCAAAGAATATCAAGAGAATTTTGTTTATTGTATTATTTAAAAGCATGTTTGTTTTCTCATTACAAATTACCTGATTTTCTGCTCTAATAATCTTGCAAAAATCACTTTCAATCCTATACACATGTACTCAGATATTGTAGTTTGCATGTTGATATAGACATAGTATTTTCCAAATCATGCAGTCGGGTTTTTACTTTTCTTAAGTAAATGGCTTCTGTACATTCTTTTAAAGTATGCTCTCAGTAGAAATACGTATCACAAGATGTTTTAAGTACATGCCAGGAAAAGGGCAAACAATCTAAAGTTGATGACAATAAATGTTTCGGGTAATGGTGAATCACAGCAAGTCGTGCGCAGGCTGAAGAGCTCTCCAGCTCCGTCTTTGTCTGACCACCACCAAACAGGCCGACACCATACACAGCCACAAATTTCCCTAAAAGTGAGCTCTTGTTCTTTTGCTAAGATAGTAACCTAATGAAACTTGTTTAAAATGAATATGTCTGAATTATAGAACGCGTTGAAGTATATTTACATGTACTACAAAATAAATAGGTGCGTGGTAGCTGGCATGATTCAGCGAGTATAGCTGTACCGTCCGTTAGGCACGGTGGCCCTGCGAGAGATTTGCCTGTGGCACGGTAAATCGTCCATTGGCGGAACACCCCGTGATTATCGATAACCAAGCAAATTAATCATCTTTAGGGAAAAAAGATTTGTCTCAAATGATAATTCCTTTAACAGTGTTAACGAAGTGAAGTCACAGCATTTGTTTCTGATACTTAGTTTGTTTTAAAAAACCAAAACAGTTAAAAAGGCTGTAATTAACGGACAAGCAGTAACCGACACAGTTCTATATATACGCTTGTGGTAGTTAATGGGATAAACAGATGTTGGAAGAATTCTTACAAGCAGAAACATACTACAACATTAGAAGCATAACATCAAACGTGATGCTATTCCTTTCCCATCATTTTTGAAATACTGAGGCTTAATTATGAGAACTTCACGATTAATATCATAGGGATATCATATCATCATAGGGATGGCTTGGAAACCCCATTAGTCTACCAACCCCTCCATTTGAAAAGTGGAAAGTTTTCCCATGCATTCCTTTTGCAATAATCCTTATTGTATTTTCTTTGTTAGAAATGGCGCCAAATATAGCCTCAGCTGTTATAGATGGTGAATGATGAGGCTGTCACCAAGGTGAAAAATACAAAGAGAACTAAAACGTACCAATGACGATTAGGCATCGTCATGTGACCATATTTTCCAGAAAAAAAAAATTAATATATGAGCAGAATGCTTACCTTAAGCTGGGTTTTCCCCCTTCTGATGTCGCAACACCAAATTTCACACCAACTCCACGTTACAAAACAGAAACTTTGTGTCCAGGGTATAAATCCACGGTACAAGATTCCTTTAAGGGATGAAAAGTTGATATTTTAGTAACAAAACTGGTTTAGAATGTTAGCAAGTCAACAGGAGGAAGAAAGACACACTTCCTGGACCCAGTTGTACATGCACAATGCCTGACTAGGGGTTTGCGGACCGTAGTACACGAAGCACGCCCACACAAATTATCATATGGTCGCAGGGACGGTCTACTGTAAGCGTCTCAAACGATAAAAATATTTCCAACAACAGTTTCCGTTTTTCAAAGCTCTGTAGCAAATACCATACATATACTGAGACAAGAAGAGTGGTTCTAGATATTGGAAGATTTATCTTTACCGTTAATTAATTGTTTAAGTTTGGCATTTCACGCAGTGGTTCCTTTGTTCTTTTGATGAGTTGGTATGCAAATATTTTCATGCATTAAAACTTGGTGATTTCTTTGTGAATCTTTCGCTGTCTTCATTTAGGGTTGATCAACTTGATTAACGCTAAAAAATATACAAGCAAATAACAAGGAACCCCCCCCCAAGTCTTTTATTCAGGGGGCTTAGCGTTCCATGCATCCTGCTTCCTGCATGGATAACGCCCACGAAATGGTCTGCAAGGTTTAGCCAAATGGGGGCGCTGTTGATGATTTAGGCTTCGTCTTCACTTCATTTTTCAGGAGTTGGTGAAATAAAGTTTCGTTGATGAAGACTGTAGAAAAGCAGTACTTCCTGTGAATTCAACCATGGAAGCTTACAGAGTGCTTAAACCTAATTTACCAGCTCGCAATCTCAAGGGACGCTAAACTAACATGGTACCCCCATCAATAATTACACGTGACCAATTGATTGATTAAGACGTAGAATGTAACGGGTGCTTCGGAATCAATGCAGCTAAGTCATAGACTACGTCTACGTCTAAAATTGACTTTGGATTGAAGGGCCTAGTAACCATGCAAGTACTGGAAATAGAGGCAATATGTGTCAAGGCGGAGTTGGGGGCCGAGAGCTCCGTATCACTAGCACTGGTATGTTCATTGTGACTAAATATAAAATGGCAAAGAACAGCCTCCAAGGTACTACCTCCACACCAACACATTAAATCACTATTCACTCATCTCGGTCGCTCCATGTATTACTCAAGGTTGAACTATATCAAACATCTTACCTGTAATCCAGAACACATATCCAAAAAAGTACAAAAATGAAGATGTCGTTAATGTCAGAGTCGCAGTGGTGGCTGTCAAAAGCTCTATATGTGTTTTGTACGGTGAATGCCGTTTGGTCAGTCTGAATTAAATGAACGAGTAAAAGAATTCATGAAGGAGTCTGTAGCAGCTGGCAAGAAATTCTTAAAATGCTTTTCTCTTCATCGTTGAGTGGAAGGTAAGTGCATGAGCAACAATAAAGTCAGAAGCGATTATTGAAAAGGACCTAATGGGAATAATGCACTGCATGCTTGGTTGGCGATGGAAGTCGTATTACCTGCTTACACCACCAATCAAGCAGTGGGTAAAATAACATCCCCCTTCCAAAATCACTGGAGTAGGGTCTCTGTGATTTCTGAAATAAAAAAAATAGAGTTTGACATCCATGTAAAAATGGAACAGAACATATCAATCGTTGTTACAAAGTCGAATAAAAAAACTGGTCGAAATCAATGGAAGTGGTTGAGAAATAGGAACCGTCCACAAACAATCCAGCAGATTTCTCTGGACTTACAACCAAAGGTATTGTGTAATATACTCTTCATTGCCTTTTGTCTTTTTTTGTGTCCATGAAATGGCTGTCACAAACACAGCAAGGAATAAATTCAAATCCAAGCCTCCAAACGTCGGAGACTTGAAGCAGAATTCCGTAGAGCATTAAAAAACACTCAGAAGCGGTCGTCAACCGTTGAATTATATAGCGCCCTCTATTTTTGCCTTCTATTTCGCGGTGCATTTTTTTAGAGGACAAAATGGTATTACGCCCTCTTTTGGCAGAACGGTGAAAAATTCAGACGAGGAAGGTTTGGTTTTGGGATAATGCTGTGACACGGGGAAAAATTCTGGTGAGGGTTCTTTGCTCGGTAGAATTCTATACACTTCATGACGGTCAAAATTTTTGGCTCAATCCAGTGGCAAAATTGTGGCATATTTTGCAGGGGCCCTAAGGGGACCCTCATATTCTGGCGGGACACACTTTTAGTGGGTTCGGTCACAGTTACAACACCAACCTCGGCACATTATCGATAAATATTTCCCTTGTCTGATTTTTAAGCTGGACTAGGCGGGGGAGGGGGGCTGGCCTCAATCGAGGGGGGAGGGTGTTCGCATCCCCCTTAGTTTTGCCACTGACTCAATCAGCTCCAGTAAAAAACAAAACGAAAGGAAACAAAAGTCACAGCATTGATATTCGGAGAAAACGTTAACCTATAATCATTTAGATTATCCTGTATCCTGACTGAATAGTTTAAAATACACTATTAAATAAAATATAATGTAAAACAGCAAAACGTGTTTGAAATGTTATAACATAAAAAATTCCGAATAAGAATAGTAAAAGAATGCGACCAACCAGTTGTAATCATGTCCTATAAACCTGTTTATTTCACCTTCCAATGGAGATGGGAGATATTGTGTCATCCGTAGCATAGGTACCAGCAAGTCTCCACTCGTCACAAGCCATTTATTCTAAGCACAGCATTTCGCTGTACGCCTGAGCTAGTGGTACACCTACGCTTGCTTACAGACAACTATCGCTTGATCGCTTATCACATTCTCTCTGGTTACCGATTTCCTCGGTGACCGAGTCCGTCGGTCGGGGAGGCGTGAGTATTTGTATTCTTGAACCACGCATGACTGGGTACTTCCTTGAGAGGTCTGATCGCTTTTTTCGGGCAGGCTAGAAGATGACGATGGATTTTGAACACATTCGTATCGAAGTCTCGTTCATTTGACCTTATCACCATGGGAGGCAAGTTGTACACACGATGATTGTTCCCTTGTGGGCTTGCCTCTGTATCATCATTAGCCGTGACGAAATTAAGAGCATGAAAAGATGTTACTCGTTGACGACATCATCGTTATAAAATGAGGATGCTACGGGTTCCGGCAATCTCAAACGAAAAATCAGTTGTGCAAACTTCACGCCAAAAGCGTTTGAACTAATGAGCTTATGTAGCTCGTACGCAGTTTTAAGGCCGGTGCATTTTGCGGCAAGAAAGAGAGTATAAACGAGAAATCCATTTCTACTGTTTTCATCTATTGCGATTTCAAAATGTATCATACGTACTCATCGCAGCGAGATAATACAAGAAACATTGTTTGCGAGACACTTGTTATATGATTCCGTTATAAAATTTAACGAAACACAGTTCGATTGATTTTACGTTTGCTCATCTTTCCGTCCATGTTATAATTGCGTTAGAGGGCTGATATTTCTGCCATTGTGAAGGATATACGTACGCCGCGCGTGCCTGATTAAAGACTTAAACGAAATTGCTATTACACAGCGTAGATTTCACCTTCACCTTGTCGGTACCATTTCAGAAAACTGCGAGCAAATATTGGGTGGGAACCAGTCCACAGTTAAGGTAATACAGCAGTATGCACAAATCACATTTTGCTTGGGAACGTATATTTGCTAGGCAACTATTTCTAGGCTTAGCGAGTGTCTAGCTGCGCTTGCAAGCCCGTAGGATTTGCACCTGGGAGCTGCCGTTTCATTCTTACCTCGCAGGTGATAGGTCAGTTATTAAATTTATGATAAGTGTCCAACTTCGGATAGCGAGCAAGCAGAATGGGACTAATGAGCCAGTTTGCTATTTCAAAAGCAAGGTCAATCGAGAACAAAACACGTGTGTGAGTCGGCGTATGGTCGCACTGATGGGACAGACGCCGTATGCGCGTATTGTTCCCAAATGACCGCTTCATGTTGGGTATGGGCTCAGGATGAAATACCGAACTGGCTATCTCACGGTCTCTCCCAAATCATAGCATGGATTAGCCATGTCCAGATCAATATGCTGGTTAGGGCTGTGCTCAACACACACGTCTATGACACATCTGTGGTGAGTGGCTTCATCCGATAGCCAGTTGCTGACATGATCGTAGTTTTTTCCTATAAAAACATCTGCACTGCATGTGGAACAGCTGGCTCGCTCGCCGCATCTCCCTCCTTGCTTTTCTAAATTTCATCATTAAAAACCTTTATTCCTTTTTCTTCTTTAAAATTTTATTTGGAAAAGTGATCTTTGGAATCATCCTCAACGATGATTAAATTTCGACCCTTTGAGATCTCCCAAAGTAGTCATTTATTAACAAGCAGTACCATGTACTAGCTTACCTTGATATTTCATCTAATAAAATGC